CAATGGGGCCCCACCCCGGCGAAGGAGGGAGGGAGCGGCGTGCGCTCTGCCCGCGGCGCGCTCGCTCGCTGGCTGCTGCTGCGGGGCCGAGGCTGGAGCGGGCGGGGAGGGGCGCGGGTGGGAGAGCGGAGGAGGGAGGAGGCGGCGGCGGCGGCGCGTGTGGCAGGCGGGCGGGCGGCTGGCACCGGGCTCGTAAATAAACTGCGATGCTGTCTCGGGCTCGCCGGCCTGGGTGCCGCCGCCGCCGCCGCCGCCCCGGAGCGCCGGTGCCAGGCTCCCGCTGCCGCGCGCCCTAGCTTCTCCGCGCCTGCCTCGCGCGCCCTCGCCCGTTCCCCGCAGCCCCCGGCCCGCGCCCCTCGGGGTCCCGCGGCTGACCCGCGCGGGATGTGACTTCTTTCCCCCCGGCCCGGCCTCCCCTGCCCCCCGGGGGGCCCGCCTTTGCCTGCTTTTGGGGGGGGTGGGTGGGGAGGGGCGCGCGGATCATGGCATTGGAGTTCCCGGGCTTGCAGCCGCCGCCGCCGCCTCGTCCACGCACCCCGAGCGCCCCTTCTTCCCGGAGCAGCAGCGGAGAAGGCGAGGCAGATGGGGCTCAAGGCGCGCAGGGCGGCGGGGGCGGCTGGCGGCGGCGGCGACGGGGGCGGCGGAGGCGGCGGGGCCGCTAACCCGGCCGGAGGGGACGCGGCGGCGGCCGGCGACGAGGAGCGGAAAGTGGGGCTGGCGCCCGGCGATGTGGAGCAAGTCACCTTGGCGCTCGGGGCCGGAGCTGACAAAGATGGGACCCTGCTGCTGGAGGGCGGCGGCCGCGACGAGGGGCTGCGGAGGACCCCGCAGGGCATCGGGCTCCTGGCCAAGACCCCCCTGAGCCGCCCTGTCAAGAGGAACAACGCCAAGTACCGGCGCATCCAAACTTTGATCTACGACGCCCTGGAGAGACCGCGGGGCTGGGCGCTGCTCTACCACGCGCTTGTGTGAGTACCCGGCCGCTCGGGGCGTCCCTCGGCGGCGGCGCGTGTTGGCGTTCGGGGTGGGGGCTGGAGCTGAGGACGGCTCTGGGGCTTTAAAGCCCAGGGGTGCCGGTCCGCTGAATTGGAGGCCAGTGTGCCCTCCATGTGTGTTTCTTCGCTGTATATGACTGTGTGTCTGTGAACCACCTTGAGGGTGCGGGACACCAGAGCCTAAAAGATCTAAGCGTGGCTCCTCGGCTAATCTGGCGATTGGATTGGCATGTCTGTGTGCGCGGGTGCGCATTTATGGTCCCTTCGCCGGATGTTGCTGTCGAAGCTTAAAAGAATTATGTGGTTTTCCCAATTCATGTGGAGGTTGAACAGGATAAAGCGGACCCTCCCATGCGCGCTGTGTTTTTGCTTGGGATGGGTCCCTTCTCTTGGGATCGTTGCTGAGTTTAGATGATACATCCTGGAGTTGGGGATGGGAGTGGTACACTGCCCAGAGCGGTGTGTGTGTGTGTGTGTACGCGTGTGCATGAGCGCGGGTATCGTTTGCTTGCTTGTGCCACCCTTTTCAGGGCTCCATCCTGGTAAAGAAAAAACCTGGTATCGGGGCTTGGACTGGTCAAAATGCATGTCTTTGAGTTGTTTTTCGTAAGTTAACTAGAAAGAGAGAGAGAGGGAGAGGGAGAGAGAGAGGGAATATCTCAGTGTCTAAGCCCAGGCTGGGGGACTGGGGCTTCACAGCCTGGAGGTGGGGGCCGGGGCTTATTCTGGCTGGAACATCTCCGTGGTTTGGTCCTGATATCCCTTCACCCTCAGCTGCTGCCGTTCTCTCCCTTTGGCTGGCCAGGGGCAGTGGGAATGTGAGGGGCCTGGGCTGGAGGTTTGCCCCCAGGCACCCATCCCCTCGAAAGAGTCTCCTTGCTAGTCAGGATGTAAATGCGTGGCCAGAAGGAAGCTGGAACTCCCTTCTGCGCTTGACACTCCTGATACCAAATTCTCCTGTATTTGGGGAGAGGGAGGATGGCAGTGGTGGCTCCTCGCCCAGGAGGGGAAATCAAGGCTGTCAGCACACACCTCGGGGCTGGCAGGACCCTTGCTGTTACCCCTGGCCTCCTATCTGTGGCTTAGTCATCCTGATGGCTGCTTCTTAGGAGGTTGTACCATTACCAGCGTTTTGGTGGGGAATTGTCTGTGACCTTGACCCCTCTTGTGCCTTTAGCAGTGGGTATTCCTCTCTGTCTTCCTCCAGTTGAGCCACAACCAGTGTGGTCTGAAGCGTTCAGGGAGCCTTCGAGTTTACACTACCTGCCAATCTTCCTTGGTTGGAAAGGCTTTTCCAGATCTGGCCACCAGGTGGGGGCGTCTGCCCAGGACCTCAGACTGGGCAACAGGTTTCTTCAGAGAGGTTACTGAAGACTGGAGAGGGTGCCTCCCCGGAAACCGAGGACCCAGTAGGAGGGAGGGGAGGCTCCAGCCAGGAACATGGATTTTGAGTGGTCCAGCCTTTGGCATGCACATCCACACGTATTTGCAGATGTTAGTGGCTGGAGAGAAGGATTAGCAATTGGTGCCCTTCCATTTGGTTTCTTCGGGTGATAAAAAGGGATTAAAAATACATTCATCTCTCTGTCTCTAGCACTGTATTTAGTTAAGTTGAACTGAAGTTAATAGTGGAATATGTGATAATAAAAAACCCCACAGCAATTATTTGAGTGCACACAAATATAAACAGACTTAGTGTCCTTTTGCACATAAATGGCGTTCAGTACGTGTTGGCTGTCTTCCCAACCTGGGGTCCCCCTGGAGCTTTGGGCTCCCTCTTCCTTCTCCTACCACTTTTCCCAGCCAGCACCCCAGCCCTGCCTTACCCAGTCTGGGGAAGTGGGAGCTAAGGCCTGTTGTTGACAGAGCCTCAATTTGATCCTTGCCTAGAATTATTCCATCACCCGGAAGCAGGTTTAAGAATGCCAAAACCTGTAGCCTCACTTCCCAGAGAGGTTCCAGAAAAATTTCAGACTATGGGAGAAGGAAGAGTTGAATACCTAACTAAGCGCTTCCACACATGCAAATCGTTTACTTCATTGAATTCTCACTAGTGTCCTGTGATGTGGGAATTATCTACATTTTATGGATGAGGCTATGGAAACTTCAAGAGATAAAACCACTTGTCTGAGATCACGTAGCTGATGTTTCTGGAGCTCACATTTGAATGCAGTGGGTCAGCAATGTTTCCGAGCCCAGATCCCAGTTCTGACCCTCTGCCAACAATCGGGCGACCCTGGGTATTTCTCTAGGTATCACTGGGTAACGCCCTGCTCTATTGATAACACCACGCTTTGGGTAATGCCTCTGGCTCCGCTTCCTGGCTCAATTGGCAAATAGCTGGAAATGGAGTTTGGAATCAAAGCAGGGGCTGGTCGGAACTCAGGGAACCACGGGGTTAGGGAAATGTGGCTGGGCTGGGGGTGGGGTGGGATTGTGGATTCTCATTAATTGGGAGTTTTACAGGAAAACCTGTGCTGGATCAGATTTGAGCTCCTGATGCAGCATACCTAGTGTGTGGATGCCTTGTCCATCCTTCCTCCAGCTTAGGAGGAAGTCCAGTCCAGTGAACAAAATTGAACCTTTCATTGGTGATTCAGGATCTTGCAAGTCATTGAAATTCGTGCTTCAGAGCATCCATTATCCTGTTCTGGGTCGTGGCTAATGCATAAGGGGGCCAGGAAATTGGGCTGACTGTGGGCTCACAGTCTAGTGCATGCTTTTTTTTTCCCCCCAATGAACCAGACCCATAAGATGCGATTTTCCCCCACTGTCCTGGAGGTAGAATACAACAAATGTGGAAATCAGAGTCCATCCACCCAGCCCCCCCTCCTTTTGCCTTCAATGCCTATCCTCTACTTTCTCCTGGCTACTCACTTTCACCTTGGCCCAGCTCCAGTGTCACCTCCTCTGGGAAGCTTTTCCCTGACCTTCCAGGCTGAGCTAGAATTGCCCCTCCTATGCAACATCCCTAACCATAGGATTTCACACATTGGACTGGCTTGGTCTGTTTGCTCGTCTCCCCTACTGAATAGAGACCTACTTGGGAACAGGGGCTGAGTTGTTCCTTAGCATCCTCAGTCCCCAGCAGGCTGCAGGGTGCATGGTCATTCCTCAGTAAGTGTTCACTGAATGAATGAGTGAAAGAATACTCTTAGGTTAACCAAGACTCTGTTTTTTATGGCTTTACTATTATCACAACAACAAGAAGTACCTGAAGTCAGCACTGTAGGATTTTAATGATAAGAATAGCTCTTAGAAGGCTTAAACTGGGCTCTAGGGAGGGGGGAAAGGTGGAAGACCATGCTTTAACCTCAGTGAGGCTGACTGCTTCTCTGCTCCCTTAGCCTTATGGCTGAAAAGGGTTACAAGGTCGTGGAAAATGTGCTGGACTTGATGTTTGCAGCTGGATTCTGCCTTAAGTCTCTATGACTTTGCATGAGCCATGTTGAGGATGACCTGTAAATTGGGAATGATAACACTGCCCTGTCACAGGGTGGCTTTTAGGCTTAAAGAAAATAGTGTGTATGAATGAAATTAGCCCAGCATCTGGCACTGAGTATTTATTGGTTGATTTTGAATAGGCGTCACCTTAAAAGTCATACACACTTGCCACTGTGCCTGTCCTGAGGCTGTCTGGGGACTTCTACTTCCTGGCCTGTTAGTGGAGAGATGCTGGCTTCATCTTGGCATTGTTGCTGGATTGGCACTGTGCAAGCCTGACCATGTCTCTCCAGCCAGCTGGGTACGATCAATCATGCACCTGTTGACAGACCAAGAGGAAATGATTGCAAGAAATACCCACTGATTGCATTCTGAGGTGGGCTGGCCCCAGGGACATCTGACAGGTAAGACTGAGGGGTGAGATGCAAGGACCCAACAGCCGCTCTGGAATATAGCAGCCTGGCTGGTAGACATGGAGTGTTGACTAAAGGATCTACAGTCCCCAGGGGGAGGAGAGACTCTGGACTCCCACTCAGACACTTCAGTAAGACAGAGTGTTAGCAAGTTTGGGGTGAGAGAAATTTAGTTTTCCAAATTTTCTTTGCCTCTTTCAGCTGGTATGGTCTTGGGCAAGTTGGGGTGTCTCTGGGCTTCAGTTTCTTCATCTGAAAAATGTTCCAGTCTAGGCTTTTGTGCAACCAAGAGCACCTTGCATAGAATAAATGCTCAATAATAGTTACTTGTGTTATTAATATTATTCAGTCAATAGATATTTCTTGAGTGCCTTCTCTGTGCAGAAGTTCTTCTAGACATTGGGGATATAACAGTAAACAAAACAAAACAAGACAATCCAGTCTCTGCCCCAATAGAACATATGCTCTAATGATAACATCATTGATATTAACAGAAATCTCAGAGTTCGGTCATCTGGTCAACCTCCCAGCCCGGGCGGAAGGAATACCTCCAACAGCATCTCAGCCAGTGCTACAACTTGTATCATTACTGAAGGGACATTAATTTTCTTTTCTAGACCGTGCTGGCTTCAATTCTCTCAGCTATTCTGTTTCTCCGACTCTGTTTAGCCCATTCTCCTCCTTTTCTGCCCCCATGTATCTTATTCTTTCTCATTTCCCACTCGATATTGGTCTTCTTCACCATCTCAGTCCATCCCTACTGTTTTTCACCCCACTAATCTTCCTCTTTACATTTCCTACCTCAATTTTGGCAGTTTTCTTCTCATTGTCAAGAACCAAGGATTTTGAAGAGTTGTCATTCTTTTTTTTGTTGTTGTTAAATTTTATTTTATTGTGGTAAGAACATTTAACATGAGATCTACCCTCTTAACAAATCTTTAAGTGTTGGCTATAGGTCAGTGTTGTACAGCAGATCTCTCATCTTGCTTAACTGAAACTTTATGCCCATTGATTAATAACTCTGTATTTCCCCCTCCCTCAGCCCTTGGCGACCACCATTCTACTTTTGATTCTCTGAATTTGGCTATTTTAGATGCCTCATGTAAGTAGAATGTG